TGGTGGAAGTGTAGACTGGTGCAACCATTGTGGAGGTCAGTCTGGAGATTTCTTAAAAACCTGGGATTGGAAGTCCCATTTGTTCTAGCTATCCCACTTCTAGGCATATTCCCAGAGTAACTGAAAGCATCATACCACAGTGATATATGTGCATCCATGTTTATAGCAGCACAATTTGTAATTTCCAGATCTTGGAAACAACCTAAGTGTCCATCAACTGAGGAATGGATAAAGAGTTGTGGTACTTTTATACAATGGAGTACTACTCAGCTATAAAGAAGGATCACATTGAGATATTTATAAATAAATGTACGCAGCTGGAGACCATACTCATAAGTGAAATAAATCTAACTCACATGTATGAATACTGAATAGTTTCCCTATTGTAAGAAATGATTCAAATATATAAAAGTATGTAGTAATCGTGATTCACTGTTATGTGGCTTTAAAGACTTATAAAGTTTTCACACATTATTTGGAATGGATTTTTTCTGGGCTGTGTGATATTATTGCCTGTGATGATATGAACAGCTGTTTTGAAGAAAACAAGGCATCATAATAGCTAGTGTTGATATAATACCATCTTATTTTGAAGTCCCACCAAACTGTTGTTCTTCTGTCTCCATTGGTTTTATGATGTTGTGTCTTACTGGATTTTATTATATGAGATAGTATAAACAAAAATTTTATAGGCAAAGATAATATAGAAACCATTGTTCATTTTCCGTTAGCTGTTTGTAAATACCCTGTAATACTTTCATCCTCTTGAATGGTTTCACACTGCCTCGATATGTTTGAAGCCATAGTATACGAAGTTATACTCAAATAGTTCAAGGAAACAAACACTATTGTAACTACTATTAATTCGGCTTATCTTGTGGTGAGGCACTAGGTTGCTGAGATTGTTATGCTTTGACCTGTATTGTTATGTTGTTATGTCCTCTTTTATATCAATCTCCCCCTTTTTAAAAAAAATTACTTATTTATTTATTATTATTATTTTTTAAGGGAAAAATCAAACAAAATTAGCATGATATATTATAGCAACTTTTTTGATTTCCAGTAACTTGATTTGAGGCCCTGTATTGCTCCCACCATCTTGTGTTGACTGATTTTACTCTGTTCTGTTCTGTTTGATAGTATCAAGTTTGAGGATGTAGCAAATGCTTTGAAGGCAATAAGATTCACTATGACGCCCATTCTGGTTTGACTATTATCTTCTTTTGAAGTCAAGTAATGTCTCTCATGTTTAGGTTTTACTGGTCTTGTTCTGTACTGTTTTGTTCAATTTTATTATACCTAATGATATAGGCAATTCTTTTTAAGGTAGCAAGAGGCATTATGGTAACCATTGTTGATTACCTTGTATTCTGTTTTTACATTATGTGCTATGTCCATCTTTTTTTTTTTTTTTTTTTGACTGACTGCTTTGTTCTGTCATATTTGGTTTTATTCTCTTCCAAAAAAAGTAATAAGAACTATGGGAGTAATAAAACCCAAAATGTGTGAATGTTGTTGTAAAAAAGAGAGGGAAAAAAAGTGCTCTAAAGGATACAACTGCAAATGTATTTAGGTGTGTTAAGTTAGATGACCATATTGCTGGGTTTTTGTTGGATCATTGAACACAACTGTTTGCAATCTTACTGTCTGACTGTCCACTTTGTATGCTTTAATCCTGTAACTTGAACAACTATTTCTAAGATGACAATATGTAATCTATTAACTAGTGATTTCTTATTTTTTTTTAATTCTGTTACTTGTACCCTTAGACTGTTTTGTTGTTGTTGTTGTTGTTTCCTTTTCCTTTAAAGAGGCAGGGCCTTTGGGAGGTTAATTCAGTTATGAGGGCTATATTCTCAGGAATAGGATTAGTGCCCTTATAAAAGAGACCCCAAGGGTGCTTGTGAGCTTTTTTGCTAATCCATGATGTGAAGACATATCACTCTTTCTTTCTACCATGCAAAGACACAGCAAAAGTTGCCATCTATGAAGCCGACAGTGAGCCTTCACCAGTTACTAACTCTACTGACTCCTCAGACTTGAACTTCTCAACCTCCATAACTGTAATAAATAAGTTTCGATTGTTCATAAACTAAAAAAAAAAAAGAGTATGGTCTCGAAGTGTATTGGAAGAAAGATAGCCTCTTTAATAAATGGTGCAGAAAAAAGTGGCTTTCTACATGCCAAAGATTAAACTTCGGCCCAGATTTCTCACTGTACTCTAAATTAAAATTGAAAAAGACCAAATATCTAAACATTAAAACGGAAGCCCTAAATCTTTTGGTTGATAAAATAGATAGAACTCTTGAAGATATACATGTAGGCAAAGATTTTATGGGGGAAAAAACCCTGATTGCTCGGGAAATAATACAAAGAATCAATAATTAGGATCTCATCCTATGAAAGGACCTTTGCCCAACAAAATAAACCATCAACAAAATGGGAAAACAACACACACAGACTGGAAAGAAATATTTTCCCAACTGTTCTTCAGACGAAGGGCTAAGATCTAGAATATATAAAGGATTAAAAAACTAGACCTTCCACATTTAATGCAAGGTTAATAAGCTTATTATGTGGTTCTATTAAACTTCTAAGTTACTGTAAGGAAAATTTATATCTTTACTACAGTGAATATTCTTATTCAATGCAGAGTTAGAGATTTCCATTTATTCAAGTTTTTGTTTGTATATTCTCATTATTTTTGTTTAAATTTTATAGATACTCCATATTGTTAAATCAAGTATTTTCTCTTTGTTCATATATTATAAGTAGAAATTTTTCTTTATATTATCTCATTTGTGACATGATTCTGTTATTGCTTTTTTTCAGGGTTAAAATAGAAACATCAATAACTTTTATCATTGTTTCTAATTGAATTTTGATGATTAATTTAGGCTGTCCAAAACTACAATAACATCATCTACAAATAATTATAATTTTTCCTCTTCGTATTCAATTCTTTTATCTTGTATTCTTTTACCTTTTCAAATTGTTGGCTTGTGCTACACAAAAAAATTCTTAATAACATAATAGTAGGCAGGCATGATAGTATACTACTCTATTTCCAGCACTTAGGAGGCTGAGGCAGGAAGATCACTGTGAGTTTGAGTCCACCAGGATTACATAGTGAATTTGAGGCCAGCTTGATCTACACAGTGAGATCCTGTCTTAAAAAAAAAACAAATATAAAACAAAACAAACAAAAAGCAGTAGTGATTGTTTGTCTTTTAATATATTGGTGAATGCAGTTTTCTAATATTTTACACCAGATTTTTACATCCATATTACAAGTGAAATGAAATAATGTGCCTTCATTTCTGCTTTTGTGGTAGGGCTTTTTAAGGGGCCATCCAAGTGAATTAAGTGAATTACATTTTTATGTTGCCTTTAAATGAACTAGTCTTACTTTAATAAGATAAATATAATCATCACTTTTTATTTTGAAAAGTAGTACTGCCTGTTTTTATCTGAAATATTTTTCTGCCTCAAAGTTATGAAGATAATTTCTGATAATTTCTCCTAAATGTTTCAAAGTTTATCTTTCAGATTAAAATTTTCAATGTATCTAGATTTCATATATGGTTTTTTGTTGTTGTTGTTGTTTGCTTGTTTGCTTGTTTGTACTGGGAATCAAACTCAGGACCTTCTTCTTGCCAGGAAATGCTGTGCCACCGAGCTACAGTCCCAGCTAGAGGTGATATTAGTATATCATATTATGCAGAAATACAATGATTCACTTTCCTCATATGCATAACTAATTATATCACATGCTTATAATAGCCCATCATTCCCTTGTTACACATCCAGGATATTATATCCAACTAATTGACCAAACTAAACAACCAATACTAACTAAACAGTTAGTTTAGATTGGTTAGTTTATAAGTTCTGCCAAGTTATTTCAATTCAGTATTGGTTAGAATTGTTGTAATGGGTTTCCTTGCCTTTTCCTGATATTTAATGAAAGGGAATACTTTTAATGTCATATCACCAAAGTGGTATTTGCCAACTAAAAGCAACCATCAAAAGAACTGAATAAGTATTATACCAAATATATGATATATGGATAGCAAATATGCACATAAAAACAATAAATCACAATCATTTAGAAAATTGAAATTAATAAATAATAATGTGTACACTATAATGAGAAAACCCATTTTATAAATTTGTTAGATGATTAGGTAGAGTACCCAGCTCTTGTTGTTATTTTTATTCTTCTGGGAGGTTTAGACTTCCCATGAAAAGAAAACCACCTAATAAAGATTTCTGCTGAGCTGTAACATGTTCACAATTGTCTTTAAAAAGATGAACTAGCAGCAATATGAGAAAGGATTACAGTCACTTAGTCTCAGAAGTGCAGAAGCTGGAGAGAAGAAAGCTACTAGAAACACTCAAGACTGAAAAAGAAATCTCGAAGCATAGCAGTGAGAAAAAGTAAATTAAAAATTTATGCCTAAAAGAAAACTTACATGATTACATGTGAAGTATCAAGATTCCAGAATCACGAGGTCACAGTTTAAAACATCAGATATTAAAATATATATATATATATATATATATATATATATATGTCAAAATAGAAAAATTGCATAAATCATGTTATTATTGTATTTGGGGTTAATTCTAATCATTGGAAAACCATTAAACTATAATCTTAAATATTTTTGTCTTGTTTTATCAGATTATAAACATCATTAAATATACTTTTTAATATGAACATTGTACCCTTATAATACAAAATTGACGTTTTTCAGAACAAATTACACAAAAAAGTTATAGAAAACAATTTTCATTTCAAACAGAAGTGTCAGCTATGTACAGATATACTAAAAGTTGAATAGAAATTAAATATATTTTGAGTAGAAGGAATGAATTTTATATGTTTAGTGTATCTCAGGAAATTGAAAAAATATACCCCATTCCTTCTTAAATCAGGCATAAAACACACAACGTATGTTTTCACACCAGGTAGCAGGAAATCATTTTTTCTTTACCTTTGTCTTTACCTCTGCTTCCAATATTGAGAAACATCTTCTAAGATGAAATATATCTTCCTCACTCATTATTTTTGCTTTATCTTAGTATCTTCTTTGGGTCTGTGTAAACAAATCTAAGGAAATGTTAGAGTTAGAATAATTCAGTACATTTTATAAACATTTACTTTCATAGTACAATTCAAAATACTTCCACCTTGATTTATATTCAAAAAGGACAATCACATTGAACTACAACTAGGGCTGCTTATCAAACTCAATCAGGTAAGTTTACTTGAACTGTAGCTGCCCTAACACCAACCCCTCGGGGTCATGAGCAAACTCTCCTCCCCAGATAGTTTGCATGTTTACAATTAGATAACCCCCTGAACCCTAGAGACCACTGAGCCTGCTACTGGAGCTCAGGGGTACTGTGGACTCCTAAAGATTGTTTCTACATTTGTGTTGTCCTGCACAAAGAATTGGACAGTGAACAAGGTAGCAACCATTTGCATTTATTAAAAGTAGGAAAAGAAATGTGCTCTGTAGGTGAGATGCAGGCCAACTAGAAGAAGGAAAAGTACTCTGCAGAGTTCAAGTATGCCACTGGAAGAGCTTACAGTGGCCCACAGATTAAGAGCAGCTGTGTTTTGTATCTGTGACTCTCCAATTGATGTCAGATCTAGGCTGATAGCGGATCAGGCTGATGTCCTATTAGAAATCTGCTTAATCCTGGGTGAGAAGAAATGAAGATAGCATTCTCTGACTGGTAACAAGGTACAGGGATTGGAAGCTGCTCTGAAAATGCCCTGTAGCTCCATGTTGATAGGTGACAGCCATTTGTTCAACTGCTATGCCCTAAATCTCCTGCCTCAAATATTTTCATTAGCTTTGAGTAACAATCATGAAACATAAAATATCCTGGGTCAGTATCTAGAAACCACACAAACTTCCACCTTCCTGGAGGGAGTCAATCACAAAACCAAATTCTCAGGGAAGTAATTTATAAATGAAGAAATGTATCAAAACCAGAAATCAAGTACTTCAGGGAGTGATCCATCACATATGAACACTTTTGGATCTCCCATTGATCTATATCTTACTATTTAATGCATAATTAATGTTGAGGTCAGAGTTGTCATATTCTCTTATTTCCTGCTTTGTAGCTATGGATTTTCTCAGTGGTAATTTAAATCACTACACCAGCTTGGTATAGTGGTAATACCTAATGTAGACGATAGGGCAGATTTTTGAACTTAACAAACATATAGCATAGAGTTATAAGAGATGAGTTAATTACAGAAATGCCTGAATTTGAACCGATTTTGACTTTGGGTCTGATATTTATCCTTGCTGACTTTAAATCTGTTCTCATAAAATGGGAATTATTCTAACAACTCAATCCACTCAGAACTTTTTTGTAGAAAACAAGTTAAAAATTGTGAACACATCTTAAAAATAGGGAAATACTTACAAAAGCAATAAATGACATGTGAAGAGCTTCTCTAAAACTGATGGTATTTCTGCACACATGACCAGTCGGAGATAAAAGTAAAAACTAAACAGAAAGTAAACACAACTTGCACTTTTCAGGAAGGCAACGTGACTCTAAGCTTTATTCCCACTGAGAGTGCTGTCTTCAGTTCTTATAGAATTTGAACTGGTTCTCAATCAATCTAAGAAGTGAGAGAAACAAAAAGCCACCATTGAGCTCATTATCACTGTATTCTCTTGTAGAGGATCTGTTCTCACCTTGTATTTTTTTACTTTTAAGCGGCCCAAACTCACTCTACAGAGTACCTTTGTTTTCCTATCTATAATAAATGTAAGAGTTAAACCTCCCTACATTTTGCACTTGTTTTGACCAATTCTTTGCTCAGAACACAAAGAACCTACAAACTACTTCTAGAGTGAGAGTCCAGCACCCCCAAACCCATAACAAAACCAGGTGATTAGAGTTATACATCTCAGTGTTTTGAGATGGAAAGTCTTGTCCAGATATTGATTTCATTTTCTAAAGAATTAATTTTGTCCATTTGAAAATTACCATTATAATGATCACTGGCTCTGGAATTTAGCCAGGAAAACAGTTTCAGCAATTCATTTTCCTGTTCTTATGAAATCTGCCACCTATTTTGTTAATGAATAAAACAGGTCAGGGCCTGGGCATTAGTTCAAGTCCAAATGCCAGGACTTTCAGTAACTCAGCACATTTTATTAAGTACATGTTTTACTCAGTGCACTTTCTGTCCCTTTTATATTCTTTCTAGGGTATCCACCTTAGGTCAGATGCCAAACCAGTGGACTAATTTACTAATCAAACACCTTTCATACCACAATCACACATTCTAGATCTAGCTATCTCTGAAAAAGTCCCACCTATGACTGCATGAAGCCTTGGGGGAATATCTAGACATAAGGCAGAACATTCTGAATTTTGCCCCCCAAAGATTCATGTATCTCCTTTTATGTGAAAGGTATTGAGTCCATCTCTAAGAGTTAGCACTGCTAAAAAGTCCAGATCAAAAGTCTCCCTTGAGATCATTCATTCATTCATTCATTCATTCATTCATTTTTGAGCACCAGGAGTGTAACTCAGGACCTCTCACTTGCCAGGCAGGTGCTATATCCCCAGCATCTCTGAAATTTAAAGCAAACATTTCTTGCATTCTGCATACAACTAAAACCAGTACTACCTGGATAAGGCCTGAATCTGCTGCCAGCTGGAGCTACAGCTAGGCTTCCTTTCTCTTGATTGTAGGGGTCGAATGTCTATGAATCAAATCCCTAGGAACAACTTCTCAAGGCTACTACCATTCTGTAACATGGTGCTCTGGGGCTCTTTTCTCAAAGCTAAGTCTGCTACTTTTGCAATTTTGCGGCTCTAAAGGCTGGATTCCTGCTATTTCACATGATGCCATGAGGCCATCTTTTCTATTCTGTTTCTTCTCAGCAATCAAGATCTCTTCTGCTCTATACTTGCAGTCCACAGTTTTACTGGAGCTTTGTTTCTGACTAACCTCATGACATTTTAAATCATTGTGCTGAGCTCTTTGCTCTTGATTCTTAACATAAATATGATTAAAACTGTGTAACAGTAACCATTCTTCAACATTAGTTTGTCTTGAAGTTTCTTCGCTAATTAATTAGTCTGCCATCCTTAATTTCAAAGTGGGGCAAAGTCTCTGGATACAAGTAAAGTGCCGGCAAGCTTTCTGGAGCCCAACAGCCAAAACAGTCCCTTTACACAGCAGAAACCTCCTGAGACTGCTGTTTACTGATAGCATTTCTATCAGCCTTCTGGACTTCTGAGCTATGACTAAAATTCCCCCTTAGGTACAGCCTAAGGCATTCCAGGGCTGTTGGCATCTCTTAAACTTTCCAAACTCTTTCCACACAGCAGTTACAAAAGCTCCTGAACCATATGGTCAAATATGGTCACAGAAACGACTCTACTTCTCTGGTACCAAATTCCATCTTACTTAATTTTCTCTCAAAATGTCTAGCTTGTGTCTAGATTCCCTCCCCTCACAGTGTCATGCATTCATAGGTGGAGCCTTTTGCAAAAGGTGGCTAGATCTAGAATGTGTGATGTTAGGATTAAGGGTGTATGACTAGCAAATTAATCTATCGATTGGTTTGGCACCTACCCTAAGCCAAATAACCTAGCTAGAATGTAAGAGGGGCAGAAAGAGGCTTGTCTTGTTACTTGTGGCTTGTGGCTTGCTTATTTTGCTACCTTCTGCCCACCATGAACTGTTTCTCCTGTACAATGTCCCTCTGTCATGCCACCTACCTGGAAGCCAGCCAACTGTAAATTAAAACCTCTACAAACTGTAAGCCAAATAAATCTTTCTTCTTTTAACTTTTGATTCAGGAGTTTTGTCTTGGCAATGACAAAGTGTCTAAGACAACTTTCACAGTTATTTTGACTTTAGGGAAGAACCAGAATTTTCATGGTGCCAGAACTGGTGAATAAATTCTATAAGGATTACACCATAACACGTTTTTATGCACCTTCCTTTCTGTTGGATGGTACTTGATTTCATCATTTTTATGACAATATCTCCTAGAGATATTCACAAAAGAAGTCTTCCAGAACTGCTTCAGAAAATGATAAGAATGATTAGATAAGTGTGTTCAAAGAAAAGGGGAGTATTTTAAGGGAAATTAATGACATTGCATCTTTTATTGTAATAAATTTTTAAATTGAAACATTAAGCATATATTTTGATCACCCCTTGCATTTTCTCTGGAATTAACTCCAATAGTAGATCGTCCTCTCTTGGTATTAATAGAGATTGGTTTCAGGACCCCTTAGATACTAAATTTCATGTTTACTTGAATGTGTTATATAAAATTGTATAATATTTGTATAAAACAGTGATGATGAAACTTTTAGTGATTGAGGACTCACACTGCAACCCAAAACCCACTTATTTACCTCACGCTTTAACTATAACGAGTATATAAAGCATTTATTGGGAGTGGCAAGGTAAAATGTGGAACTCTACCAGGAATCAGATCATAGAGGATCATAGAGCACCTGTTAAGGTATTTCTGGACCCAAGAAAAATAACCAACTATTCTTTACATATATTAATGTTTCAGTAATGCTTTAAGGGAGTTATGAATGTTATCCTTTTGGTATAGATGAAAAATTAAAGTCTGAGAGACATTAAGTAATTTAGCTGTGGTGACCCATACCTATAATCCCAACACTTTTCCAGCCTGAGGCAGGAAGGTTTCAAGTTTGAACCCAATATGAGTAACTAATGACTTCTTGAGATCTTGTCTCAAAATAAAAAAGTCTAAGGGGTACAGAACCTGGGTTCACCTCTCACTAAGAAAAAAAAAAAAAGAAATTAATTGGCTTGCCAAAGGCCTCCCAGGATATTTTGAGGTATTATTTTTGTTTTTATGTATTTATTTATTTTGAGACAGAGTCTCATTAGCAGTTCAAGCTGGCCTCAAAATCATTATGTAGCTCAGGCTGGTCTCAAGCTTGCAATGATCTGACTGCCTCAGCCTCCCAAGTGCTGGGATTACAAGTATGTGCCACCATGTCTGACCATAAAGTAAATGGAATGGAACTCTGTGAGACACAAACGTCACCCCCTTAACCACTTTTTTTACTTCAATGCTAAAGATTTGCATTTACATCATGGTGATGGCAAGTAGGGTTAACTTTCTGATTGTTAACAGGGACATCATCTATGTTGATCACATCAAGAATTAAAATTAATGTTTTCCATTACAAATCAGTACGTCTTAGTTGCATACTGTTTCCAGTTGGAGTCTGATACCAAGATCCCTAAACTGACTCTAAATCCTCCTATGTACAAATTGGTCTCAAGGCAATAGAAGAAGCTCAATTTGTCTTTGCCGTCTGGTATCACTGTAAATGTCACCTCTGTCAAAGCTCATGGGCTGGCTGCACTCCACATCTGAATAGAGTCCTAGCATCTTCTGCGATGGGAGATGCCATGGAATTTCTCTACTTTCTAAAGAGGATTCTGTATTGGTGCTGCTATACCAATATATGTAATAGGTTGGGAGTACACAGAAAACAGAAATTTGATTGATTAGACACAATAGGCATAATGAAAGAAGGGAGTAAGCCAGAGAGGGATGAATGTATAGGAAATGAACAAGGCTTTTGAAAGAAAGGGGGAAAAAGAGATCTTGAGAAAAGAATTGACAACAGATACACTAAGATTTTAGTGGTGGGAACATCTGAAGAGGACATTGAAAAAGCTTTGGCATTGTGCTGAGAAGTGTAACCCTTTCACAGTCTCGAGGGTAAATGTGCCATAGTCTTCAATATCTTGGAAGTAGAGTGTGTCTCATGAGTCATCACAGCAACGAGACTAAGACAGGTGCCACGGTCACTTTTTCTGTGGGTTTCAATTATATCTGGCAGAGACCTGAAAAATTTATCTCTCATGTGTAACATTTAAGGAAGCAAGTATAGGGAAGTAAAAAAAAAATAAATAAACCAGGTCCAAGTCACACACATGGTCTGCTGTATTACTTAAAACTGAATGAATGTATGAGAAACCTCGCTGCAAAAAGAAAGTGAAAGAAGCCACAAAACAAAATACCCATTGCAATATAAAAGATAAGTAAATAGCCATTTCATCATGATGGGTTAAGTATATTCCACAATTTCTCTGTCTCTACCAACCTTAAAATTATAGAAAATATTTCTTAAAACCAAATTTAAACATATAAATATATTTATGTTGATATGTAAAGTAATTATATAAGCAAAAATTTTAAAATACATCGTTATATAGTCAAAATATAATATGTGAATATTTGAAATAAGAATGGGAATTGATAATGAATGAAATGCCACAACCCTATAGGAAGTCCGCAATCCAGGACACACAATCAATCAGTCAGTTTGCAAAAGGACTGAATGTATCTGATTCTGTACTCAGAAACACAAGAAGTATCTGATAGGGAATTAAGTTGATTACTTTTTTTGGGCAATACTGTGCAGTCCAACTAGCCAAGGGCTTACTGCATACTAGGCAAGCACCCTTACTTCTAGGTGGATCACACTTGAAAAAATAGTTAAATGAGTCAACTGCAGGACCAGCACCAGAAGTAGTTATTATTGTGCCAATTAAAAACTCTGAATGTTCTAGTGTGGGCTCCACTGCCCAGG